GAAGCTTTGTAAAACTAGCCAAACTTCTCACTGGTCCAAAGGGATCAAACCGCACCAGTGGTGAAGTTTTGTAAAACTAGTCAAACGTCCAAAGGATCAGTAATATTATTATTATTTTCACTGCGATTCCATAAGAATAACATGTTTTATCTTTACATCAGATTTATATTGATAAAATAAAAACTGGAAATCATCAATCAATTTTAGACCTTCCAGCTTTATTGAACAACTCCTTCAGACCCCCCAGATGAATCTTGTGATCAAGAGATCATGACTATACGAAACGTTTCACCGAGAGATTGCGAGCGATTTTAACTTAAGAGTTAACTCTGAATGAGTTTAACGAACATATCAAACTGGGAGATCAGTTTAACCTTATCTCGATGAATTATATACAAGAAAATGTTTGTCAAATATCTTTTTATCATTGAACTTTCAGTGTTGTGAATCTACGGTATCTTTCGAATTGTAAGTATGTTTTTGTTTATCGATATATCGAATTTGTGCAAGATGGATTGGAAAAAAATTGACGTTTTTTTTTTGTTCGCTTACTTCAAGTGAACAGAATGTTGAACTACGTACTTGGGCACATTTTAAAATATGAATATCATTTTAAAATACACGATTATGTATAACATTAGTTCACTCTAAAAACGTGGGTTAGGCCTATCTATAAAAAACGAATATTACGCTTTCTCAACCTCGCGAATGACGAAGCACTAGACTTGTCTTTAAGAAAAACTTATTTTTACTTGCGCAGATATTTAAATATTATCAGTATATTCTCCTGAGGAGGCTTCGGTACAGCTTTTCGTAACTGGAGAAAGGTGGGGATTAAATATGTAAGGGAACCAAATCTAAAATTAAATTGGGATGGAGAAAAAGACATTTCAGGAGAATCTGTCCCCCCGTTAGCACCGGCAAAGCTTCGGTATAAAAAAAAACAACTCGATATCAGTACGAATAAATCTAAACAGACAGGTCAGACATTAGCTGAAACATGAAAAGTTGCAGTTAAAAAATCTAGTTATAAACGTGAAACAAGCTTCTGTATATCTAAAAGTGATTATCTCAATCACAATATGCATGAAACCTGTTCCTGGAAAAGAATCCACTGATCGAAAGCACTTATGTTTCTGGGTCTACTTCAATATATATTTCCGTGATTCTCTGCGTAATGTTTCTCCATCATAAATAAAAATTAATAGAACTGTAACTTGACAGAGAATTATTCCAACTACAAAAAAATCCAAGCCTTTGCTTATCCTCACTAGTCACGATGATTCACGCGTGTTTAATAGAAAAGCCAGCTTATCAGAGCATCACGAATATTCCAATAAAAATCTCAACCTATAACGACACGTAGTCATGGATAACTTCACTACGGCTTCACAAACCCCTCCACCACTTCACAATATTTATGTATAACTGTAATTTTACAAAATTATCACCGAATGTAAAAGCACAAGAGCACTCCTTGTTCGTCAAGTTATGATAGCGATACACGTTTCTTACTGTTGGTTTGACAAATATTTCCTGCTGAAAATTAGACCACAATTTCCTTTTAAGTAGGATATTCTTAAACACATTCACACTTCAAAAATGAGCGTGTTAACAACCTAAAAGAAGGCAAGGCATTGTTTTATTACGATCTTTGGCACGTGCCCAAGAGTATCGAATTGTAGATATAACTAAGCTGAGCAACTTTAGTTAAAACATTATAAAGTCTATTAAAGTGACCTTCACAGTTTCTGATAGAACACATCACAAGGGCAAACTTTTCAACCTGAGGTCAAAGTCTAAATAGATCTGTCGACCAGTGACTACTGCATACTATATTATACGTAAATAAATACCGATTTTTGACAACCCCGAATTACTTTTTTCCTGGTTTTATAATAAATGTGAATTTCTGAGCACCTGATAGTCGTGCTTAATCTCTTACATAATCCGTAATTAAGGCCGATTAAAACAAGTTTTCAGATAATCCGGAAGAAGGAAGACGAGATTTATTTATTTTATATATATATATCTTGTTTTGTTCCAGACATCCAATTCCAATGTGAAACTCTAGATATATCAGTGACACACCTCCGATCGCGAGAGGATTACAGAAATAGAAGCATTAGGGGGACAGAAGTTTCAAGTAAGGATAATTAACTGACAATTTATTTTAACTGGCCTAATTCCTACTTAGAATTGACCTCAAGTTCCTTCAATAAAGTGGCTGTAACTAACTCGTTGGAATCTCTAGCTTTTCATGACATGGGATTAGCTTCGTGCATATCCTCTGTGGCTGAACAGCCAGGTCACAGACCCCTAGGGTTCACGCACAGCCTTTATTTTCAACCAGACAACAGCCTACTGGCTTTAAATGTTACTGTTATAAAGTACCCACGGCTGACAGTGCAGAGCGTATTCAGAAGTCACGGCTCTACCCTAGAACCCGCAGGTCGACAGCTCAGCACGCCAAACACTAGGCTACGCCTGGCCCAATAAGTTTGTAAAAAACAGATATATAATTTTAGAAAACAACAATCTTAAGCTAGGAAGATACAGAACATAAATTTGAATCAGAACTTAAGCGTTTTGTAGTTAATGGTGAGTTAGATTACAATTTTAATGTTATTAGAGTTAGGCTGAAATTTAGTGTTAATATTATAGTAATTATTAGTGAGATAGGCTACAATTTTAATGATATTAGAGTTAGACTAAATTTTAGTATTAATAGTATAGAAATTATTAGTGAGTTAGGCTACAATTTTAATGTAATTATGAGAGTTAGGCTAAAATTTAGTGTTAATATTATAGTAATTATTAGTGAGATAGGCTACAGGTTTAATGTTATTAGAATTAGGCTACAATTTTAATGTAATTATGAGAGTTAGGCTAAAATTTAGTGTTAATATGATAGCAATTATTAGTGAGATAGGCTACAGGTTTAATGTCATTACTACGAACCGGGCCCGGCATGGCCAGGTGGATAAGGCG